AAAAGTAGACACACACTGATAAATCTATTCCTTCTTCTTTGTCTTTTTTGGTGTTGGATAATCATTTCAGCAGAAGTTTCAAGAATGGTATAGTTTATATAGAGTTTTGGAGGAGGGTGACTGTTGGTTCTTGAAGAGTTTTCCTCTCTTCTGTATGCGCATGTATTTTTTTTTCTTTAATCAGTACTTGAAGGAATACATTTGAACACAATGCAGAGACACTAAAATACCCTCATGGCTTTAATTATTTTAACTTTGTTTCACAGATATTATATACTGGCCATCATTTTGGCATGGTGGATTGATTTTAAATACCACAACACTTAGTTGTTGCACTTGCTACCACAATGCAGCATGGATGCTGAATTCTGTCAGAATTGCTTAAAGAAATGTTTTAAATCGTTTGCTCTTATGCAGTTTTAATCACTTGGGCTTGAATAAACTGTGGAAGTGCTCCAACTGTGACTCGGGTACTGTTTCCTGTAGTAAAAATGAAAAAAAAACAACACTGCATTCAATGGCAACTAATAACTTAGAATTTCTTTAATTAGTACAAATCAAAGAAAACACAATGAGAAGTTCAATTCCCTACTTTGTAACTTAATTAAAGTAGCATCCTTTATTGTGAATCTTATATTATTACAGCTTCTGTACTTTTATTGATTGTAAAAAGAAAAAAAAAAAGATAATGTACCTTTTGCGTCTTTCTCACTCTCACAATTCCTACTTCTCATTTTAAATATACTGCACCATTATCTTCAGAACTAGGTGTGCTTTAAGTAGCTCCTCCCACAGCAGAAAGAACAGCAAGTCTTCATTTGGCAGCATTCAGAATATTCACTCCTGTATAGCTTCTTCTCATACTAAAAGCGTAAGCTAGCTGAATCTTTCATAAAGGTAATGTAGACATATGCATGGGCACTTTTTATGAGTTGACCATTCATAGAAGAAGCTGCTGAAGTCACTTTTCATATCAGCAAAAATAGGATACTAACATTTTTTTTGGGATCTGTCAATGACAAAAAGGACTATTTTATGGGAGTATATTCATGTCTGTGTGAAAGCACATGCAGCGGCTTCTTGCCATTAATGTATTGTGTTCCCTCCTGTTGCCATCCTCTCAGTGCTTTTCTGCAAAGTGAAACCATCCGCTCTCCCACCCCTTCTCCCCAAAACTCATATTTTGCATGTAAAGACCTAAAAAGTATATTGAAGTGTAATTTACATGTATTTGACTTGTTTTGTGCAGAATGACATAGTAGGTTTTGTTTTTAGAAATAACAGTTTTAGAACACACCTTTATGAAATCCTTGCAACATCAATGACAGATTAAGTCTAAGACTGTATTAGAAGACCATACAGTCAGCTTAGGAATGGAAGCAAATTCAATTCTCTTTCTGAATATCTTTGGCAGAACTCCTTTCATATTTTATTAATCTATTTTGTTTTAAAACAACCAAACAAAGCACCTTAGAAATAACAGAAATGTCAAACTTGAAGCATTATAACTGATCATACATATAAAATGTACTTAAAATGAAAATGTATACTGAAAAGATACTTTTACTGAAGCATTAAAAGAACTGCTGCAGTGATTATGCATGATTAGCAACTGTATTTTTATATTACTTGACAGAAATGCTGCCCCCCCCCAAAAAAAATAAAAAATCTAACATTTCTTTTCAACTTCTGAGCTTTCAAAATATCCTGTTTGAAATAAAGGCCCCCTTTCATGGTGCCACTGGATGAAAATATATTCAGCAGCAGACAGAGATATCAGGAAAGTCTAAACAGAGCTGAACCCAAAAAAAACCTCCACTGAATAACAGCTGTCATAAAGCCCTTTTCATCCAGGTCTTTGGAACATTACACCATCATATTCTTCAGAATAATATAAATGGATAGAAGTATCTTCCTAGTGAGCAACTGCAGCATCTCTGTGGCACCAACCGACTGCCTCGAAAGTTAAATTTGTGTAAGTGTACATCCCAGCATCTGCTATCAAAATACACCTCAGGAATTTAATATCAACTGTAATATCAAACCTACTTGTGTCACTGCCGCACAATGTCTGCCCAGAATTCACATCACTTCACTGGACCAGCGCATGGCTCATCTTCCCAGCACTGGTGATCAATATATGATGCAGGCTTTATAGATGACTGCCACATTGTCACAGTCAATACTATGGCAAATGGCAATTATGGACGCATTATGAACAATTTCATGGGTGAGCTCCCCTCGCCTCTTGGCAATACGGTTTCTATGACAGATTTGGCACTGGCAGTCTTGCGACACATCTGCCTTATTGCCTGTGTTTGGCTCACTCGCTCACTCTGACATATTTGGATGTTCCATTCAGTCAACTACAGAGAATTGGTCAGGGGAGAAAGCTGATTTGTTCAGAGATTTGTATGAGCTTGAGTACAGCTGTATGTGTGCATGCATGCATGCGTGTATAAACGTATATGAATGCCTCTGTACATGTGAGGTACATTGTGTGCAGATTCTATACGTGTGCAAAAGCAGCTTTGGTGTGTTTGTCTGCGTATGAGTAACTTACTTTGAGCGACCAAGTGCACTTAGTGGAGGTACCTTTCGGGTCAGTTCAAGAACTGCACTAGGGCAAAACCATAACTCCATGCGATGAGTAAAATACCCATTTATCATTTTTGTTCTTGCCCCTGAGAGAATCTGTATGCCACAACACTGACTCAGTGTTTTGAATTTACAAGCAGACAGGGTAGTTCGTTGATAAGCCGTTTTTCTGATGCACTGAACAGCTCAACAACTTCAAAAATTTCAAATGAGCACACTTAAAAGTTTCAGAGCTTTTCATCACCATCACTAAATACAAATAAATGAAATAAAATGCCTCAGTGCTTAGTCATGTGTAAACATAAAAACATCTGCAAACTGAATATATGTTCTAAATAAACAACGTAGAATCAATCTTTGTAACACAAACTGGCTGACTCAAGGATATTAATTTTTTAAAAATTAAATCAAACTTTTTAAAAAGACAGCAAGCTAAAAACGAACATAACTAAGTCACATGTAAATGTGGAAACATTTTTGTAATCAGAAAACTAAAAAGATGTAAATCCCCTTCTTGGGGAATATTTCTGAGTGCTGTAAAAAATAAATAAATACATTTTAAAAAGTGGAATATTTCTCCTATTTCAACCATGATTGTTGACCAATGACACTTATCTGACAATGTCTTACTTAGGAAACATTTGTGGGTCCAAATATATTAAAATGTGCTATAAAAGAGTATGATGACTGTAACAGAGGTTAACACATGTGTTAGCTAACGTGTAAACATTATGCTAGCTAACTTTACTTCAAAAACCAGTTAAATTAACTACTTTTACACCTCCTGTAAATACGGTTTCCTTACATTTAGAGGGGAAATAACTCAGCAAATCTTGGTATTAGCTCCCAACTCTTCATTTTGTCCTCTTAGTTAGATCAGAAAGCTGCCGGAAAGTGTGGACAAACTACAGTTGAGATAATGACAAATTTTGGAGTCACACATATCTATATATCTTTACAGTTAAACTTTTAGGTTCTGTATAATTGCTCACGTCAGGTAACACATGGACCAGGCATGACAGAACAATCCTGTTCAGGCTTACTAAAGGATATTCATATAAAACAACTAAAACAATATAAAATACCAGCATGATAAAAACTAGCACAATCTACTAAGCCATGTGTAAATGATGTAAATGGAATGCTAAATGATGTAAATCTCCCAACTTAAGGCACATTTCTAAGTCCTGTATATAAAAAATATTTTTAAAAAAATGGAACATTTCTCTTATATTAACCATAATTGTTTAAATTATACAACTCTAATTCCACACTTTTCCATTACAACCAGTTGGCTGGCATTCTTGTTGGTTTTTTGTCAGTTTTGCTAAGATTAACAAAAACGTTTTAGCAAAATTTCATCCAAGCAAGACAATGCTGTTGTGCAAAGTTGTTTTGTTAGCTAATTTAACTTCAAATACATCTCCACCTCATGTAAATGCTGTTATTTCACATGAAGGATCAAAATAGCAAATCAAGATATTAGCCAGCTAGCATATTTTTTTATTTTAATGTTTATTTATTTTTTTGTATTCTTCTTAAAGTGTTTGGTTAATATTGACAAAGGCATTTTATTGTATTTTATTTTATTTTAACAGTTCCAAAAGCAATAAGATGTTGTGCTGAGAAGTTGTGTGTTCAAATGTGTTAGCCAACTTGACTTTAAAAACCAGGTACATTCACTTCCTCTACGCTTGTGTGGTTTTAACATATTTAGATTAAAAATAGGAAAGCAAATCTTCATATTAGCTAGCATGCTTTCTTTTCTTAGTTTTTTGTTACTGCTTACAAAAAATACCTCATTTAAATGTTCTGTAAGCAGTAACATGTTGTGAAAGGTTGTTGTTAGCTAACAACACAGATCAACTTCCTCCACACCTCATGTAAATACTGTTTTGTCACATTTAGGATGAAAGAAGAAAAGCAAATCTTGACATTATGCTGCTAATATTCATTAAAAAAATCATATGTATTCTTCTCTTAGTATTTTTAATGTAATGCAAGCAATAGCATGCTGTTGTGAAAAGTTCCTGTTAGCTAACCACATAGTTTTACACCTCATGTAAATACTGTGCTGGTTAATGACCGCAAACATTTTTTTATTTACAAAAAGTAAATGCAAGTAACAACATGTTGTTGTGAAAGGTTATTGGGTTAGCTAACTTCACCTTTAAAAACAGGTAAATTAACTTCCTTCATATGCAGTTTTTTCACATTTAGGATGGAAATAGCAAAGCAAAATTTGACACCAGCTAGCTAACGTTCATGTTGTTGTAGTCTGAGCTAGCTCAGAGCTGCCTGGAAGTGTGGACAAACTGCGGTTGAGGTAGTGACTAATTTTTGAGTCACATTTTGTGTCTTTACAGCTAAAACTGTCGGTCCTGTTCACCGGCTCGCTTCGAGGAAAGTATGGACCAGACGCTGCTCAAGTGCCGGCGACGCTGGACTCGTATAGATGCGACCATCCTGCGGTGTGAAGCTCATCGTCCTCTCCTCGCTCTCTCCTGTTTGGGGCGAATTTAATTGATCCGGACAAACCGCGCTACCGCCTCTGAGCTGCTTCTCTCTGTATCCGTACCGCTGAGCAACCCGGGCGGGAATCGCTTCTTTTTCTAGTGCCCAGGTGCACATGTTTTTTTTTTTTTTTTTTTTTTTCAATAAATTCCCCCAGAACACTCATAGGCCTATCCCAGGATTTACCAGCGGGGGAATCCAAATATAACCGGAGTAATTATCCCCGCATTGTTGTGAAGGCAGTTCGGGGGAGGGAATGGATGCGAGCGAGCGAGCAGAGGCGCACCGAGGCAGCAGCAGCTATCAGAGAGACCCAGCTCCTGTGTGATGCAGCTGTTTACCCAGGCTGTGCAAAACCCAGGACACCTCGACGGCTGCTTTTAGAGCAAACCTAAAAAAAGAAAAAAACACAGGGGAGAAATCAGCGGCGATTTGTTATTGTGCACGTGTTGGGATTGCATATGAAGCGCTGGGTAAGCCATGTCTACTCTCTCACACACACACAACACAGCGCCGCTTTGATTCCCTCATTCACATTTGCTTGTCTTCCTCGCAGAAGCTTCGTTTTCTCCCTCCTTTCATATGTCATTTTTTTCCCCAGAGCTGCACGGTGACAGTTTTTTTTGTTTTGTTTTTGAGCGTGGAAGCTCACTACCAACTCGGCGATATCACAGAAGTGTGCAGGAGAGGACAGCGCTGGCATCTATCCATGCGCGCTCCACCGGGCTTTTTATTATGGAACTGTGACCCCAACCGAGGCAGCACACAACGCATGTTCCTCCCATCTGCACTTTTTGCAGGTGTTTTTATGTAAGGACTGGGTATTTGGAGGATCTGTTGGCTGGAGATGCTCTGAATGTGGTGCTATTCTGCCGGCTGTCAGTGACGCAACATCTCACACTAGACTGCATGAGAAATACATGCGTAGAAGGGCGTGAACTTGGAGACACTAACCTCCTCCTCATTAATAAAGCATCTACTTATCTTTGAAGCCACTTTGCTTCGTTTTTTGTTGTTGTTGTTGCAAAAACCTCACAGCTCGTCTAAACTCATCCCGGGGACATCATGGATCTGAAAGCGGACTCGGAGGACATGGACTACAAGCGGCCGGCTCCCATTGAAGTTTTCGCCACCAGGTCCACGCTGCACGGCATCTCGCACATGTTCACTTATGAGCGGATGTACATCAAGCGCACCTTGTGGATTTTGTTCTTCATGGCCTCGGTGGGCGTGCTGGTGATGGTGTGCGTGGACCGGGTGCAGTTCTACTTTGAGTACCCCCATGTCACCAGGCTGGATGAGGTGGCGGCTCCGATGATCGTGTTCCCCGCGGTCACCTTCTGCAACCTCAACTCCTTCCGCTTCAGCCGGGTGACGCGCAACGACCTGTACCACGCCGGGGAGCTCCTCGCCTTGCTCAACGGCAGGTCTGTGCATCTGATTGCTGTGTGTGTGTGTGTGTGTGTGTGTGTGAGCGATGGAGTTCATTCTAAATTCCACATCACATAGCAGTTCTCTCCACCATGTAGGTGACTATCCAGCACACAGACTCCCAGCATGACACTCTTTGATGGTCAGGTTTTTGCCTGAGGAAAACACATTTGTGTGGATTTAGTATTTGTTGAGTCAGGCTTTGATTTATGTCCTGTGCACCTTATACATAATGTGAGATAACAGTTAAAAGACTGAAACAAAAGCCAGCTTTGTTCAAAGGTCTTACTCTTTTCTCTGAAAGGGGTAAAAAGTCATAAGAACAAAGGAATTAAACCTTGTTGATACAAAGCCAGATTTTAAGCTCACATTGATTGGATAGAAAATAGTTCAGTAGTTAACTTCTTCATATTATGGGACCGACTGTGGGTTTGGGTGGAAAATGCTTGAAGACAAACAAAGTGTCATAGGTTTACCTGTTTGAGTTTTCATTCAAAATCCCACATCACATAACAGTTTTCTCCATCATGTAGGTCAAAACAAACCTCTGTCCAGTACACAGACTCCCAGCATGACACCCTGGCAGCACTGATGATCAGGTTTTGCCTGAGGAAACCACATCTGTGTGGATATAGTATTTGTTAAGTCAGGATTTGATTATGTCCACTGCACAAAGGGCAGCATTGCTCACAGGTCTGGCTCTCTCCTCTTATAAAGGCAGAAGTCCTAAAAACAAAGGAATTAGGAGGATCTTGAACCTAACTTGCACAGGCAAAAACAGGCAGATTTTAAGCTAAATGCTGATTGGGTAGAAAGTAGTTTGGTAGTAAAGTTCTACATAGTATTGGACAGGCTGTGGGTTTGGGTAGAAAATGCTAGAAGACAAACAAGGTGTCATAGGTTTCCCTGTTGGAGTTTTTCTATTTCAAAATCTCACATTACATAGCAATTTTCTTCATTAGAGGTAAAACAAACCGCCATCCAGCACACATGCTCCCAGCATGACACTGGACGCTTTGATGATCAGGTTTTTCCCGAGGAAACCACATCTGTTTAGAATTTGTTGTCAGGATTCGATTATGTCCACTACACAATCTACACAATGTGAGGTGACAGTTAAAACATTTGGCTGGAACACTGGCTGCAGTCTGTTGCAGTAATGATGAAAATGAACAAGAATTAAATCATCAAATCGCTGAGCCCACTGACCAAATCCTACTGTAGATATTCTTTATAGAAAACTGATGCTTTATTTGTTGGGCCCAGCAGCAGTGTGTAAGGTACTAGTGACCTTTGAACTTTCTTGCGGTTTCACATTGATGTTGATTCGCGTAGCTGACTGGAATACAAACTTAGGTTAACAATGATGTCTGACTCGTCTCAGGTGAAATCTTATGTCACATGGAAGTGCAAAGCAGTGTTTTACTACCTGTCTCGCAGTCTGTCACAGTTCGGCCTCCGGGAGCTGGTGTAAACAACATGGACAAAGCATGCAAAACCTTTTAAGGCTCTCAGAGAATATGAACTTGGACTGCCCTTAGCCTGAGGTAATTGAGGAAGAGAGAAGATCATTGAATTAAAGGTCTTTTCTGAAAGTGGGAAAAGGCTAAGCATCAGAGATGGTTATTTAATAATGCAGGGATATTACAGATCATGTCAGCTGAAATTCACACCTCACATAAGCTGCTACACGTATGAAACCCTACGCGACAATGTGAAATATACTCCTAACATCAATCTTTTGAAACATGTTATGTATTATACATAGTGTGAGATCATATGAATCCAGGTAACGGATTATAGATGAGCTGTTTCTAAGGGGTTAATATGAGATGATGAAGGAGAAAATACTGCTGGTGGAATTCCTTGCCTCATCAGTTTACAATTCATGTGATTCAAATATTTAAATATTGGAGAAGTAGATGAGCAGATTTTTAAAACCTGCTGCTGACAAAGTCAAAGGAGAGAGACGTGTGTGTGATTCACAACTGCCATCCCCTCCCTTAACACTTGTTGCTTTCTGCTGCGCTTTGATCATTTAGTCTTTTGGCAGCTATGACAAGCTCACGGTATCGTGTTGAAACTTTTGACTTTGAATTTCTTCACTTTTTCTTTTCTGTGCCACCCAGGCTTTTCTGATCCCAAGATGAAAACGCACCACTGTACTCACAGCTAGAGCTTTAAAACTCATATACACAAACACACTTACTACATGTAGAGCAACATGAAAAACATGCACTACATAAAGGTACATCTAAATACCATCTTGAGCACATTATTCAGTTTATTTTTAGCGTATTGATCCACATAGCTCTGCAGCCTAAGGCACAGTGCATGCTGTACATGCCAGAATGACATAAATTCAATTTCCAGTTTTCAGACTGAATATCGTTTGTCTGTGACCCCTATAGATGCAACCATATTACAGGTGATATCCTTACAGGAAAAGCAATAGATTTCATTGCTTTGGGCTGCAGTTCCAGTGCTTTGTTTGGTATAGATTTTCACCGGTGTGCATATCCTATGTGGATTTGTTTTTCTCTGGGTTTGTGCTGTCAACTGTAATGGCAAACAATTAAAACATCAACATAGGTTTGTACTTCTTTGAATTATTAGTGAAGGTTCAGGCAGGATTACTGGAAAAAACTATCCACAAATGGAGAAAACAGAAAAATGAAAGCAGCTGCACTTGTTCCAAGTGACTTTGGGATGAGCCGACTTGAGTTGGGGGGAGGGGACGACAAGCAGAGGCAATTAACTTGTGTCTCGTAAGCTATGTGATGAACAAGTCTTTATCCCCGTGTAATTAGTGCTGTTTGTTAAGCTACAGAGTTGTCCCACTGATTAACGCTCTCATCTCTCTCACTGTTTCTTGCCCCCCTCTCTTCATTCGGCCTTGAGGGGTGGGAGTAGAGGGGGCGTCCATTTAATTTTTCCTCACTCAGAGATCAGTACAGTATGGGGCATTTTCCCAGTGATGACAAGGCCAGCTTTGTTCGCATTTCTTACTCTCTTCTCTCAAAGAGGTAGAAGCCCTAAAGACAAAGGAACTGGGAGGATCTTGAGCCTAAGTTGTTGATTAAAAGACAGATTTTAAGCTGAACATTGATTAGCAAAATAACTCAGTGTAAACCTCTGTATGTTATGCAACAGGGTGTAGGTTTGGGTGGAAAATTGGATAAGACTAATCAAAAATGTCATGTAGCCGGGGGTCTGTGTCCATCAGTGTCTCAGAGAAAAGCAGCAGGCAACAGCCACCCTTGTGGTGATGCTAGACTTTTTTTTAGACACCATGAAGTTTATAGCTGAGCTTCTTGCAAATTCAGCTAAACTTACTACAAAAAAATAAATTAAAAAAAATCACTCACTTTCCCATTGTATTTTTGCAGGTCGAAGTCACACTTGGCAGCGCAGAACATTACAAGTAAATTGCTCAGTTTTATTTTTATTATGTCGCAAAGGCAATTATATGATAATTAACAAAAGAAAGGTCATTTTGGAATAAGTGTTGGTAATGTGGTGTGGGCTGCCAAGAAGTGTTAGATCAGCTCATGAAAATCAGAGAAGCGTGTCTCCTGCTTACACAGGTCTCAAGCATGTTCCCTGAGCTTGCAAACATGCTCTGAATTCACCCAAACTACGTGAATTAAATGTAATGCTCGATAACGTTGACTGCGTTTTCTGTCTCAGCATAATCGCGGGTCTTACTGAGGTTTTGACTGGTGTAGAAAGTGCTTGGAAGAGGACCAGATTATCATGCGGAAAATACATGCAGAAAGAGTTGCTTCTCAAGCTGATTTCTCAAATGTGGGTTCATTTGCATTTGTGCTATATTGTGATTGTGTACCAGAGAGAAGATTACCATTGGAGTTACACAAGTAGGAAATATTAGATTTAACATCAAATGTGTTTCATGGAAATGTGTTGCATGCTCTTTCTCTGTCTTGTATTTTGTAGTTGCTTGTCTGTGTAACTTGGATGTGTTTGGGTTTGCTTTACCTTGTTTGCATTTCTGTGACCTTGTCCAAAGTGGCAAACGTGCCACAGGTGTGCCGCCTTTAGGATGTGATTATCAAGTTTCAGCTACCAGGAATCCTTGCAGTTATTCATTTTCAAGGACACTGCACAAACAATCTAATCTTTGTTAGTGTATGAGTTCAATTAGCGCTAATTGGATGATTACCTGAGATTATATCAAGATGTGTTCATTCGTGTGTCACGCAGCCCGAGGTATTAACACCAACCTAATGCAACGGAAGGGTTCTTTATCGTTGTTTTGTTTTAGAGCGAGAGAAGGAGAGTGAGAATACACTTTTGTGGCCACCGTCTTGCTGTCAAAGTTCACTCTGAAAATCAGTGGCCGCTTGTATTCAGTCACTCCCCTCATGAGGTGGCGAAGTGTTGCAGATGCTTCTTTCGTTTTCGTCCCCGCAAGAAAATGAAAGTGCTCGTGGCCCATAATCCAATTTAGTCTCCCCCGCCCATACATAGTGAGTTTGCAGTGATTGCTTTAGGGAGCAGTGGCAGGGCAATATTAAAAATCTACCCATATTATTGTGATTGTATGCGCTTCAACTAAAGCCTCCTGACTCGGGGATGTGAGCACGGCGTCTTAAGTGCTCTCCTGGCAGCTTTGTGTTGCTTATAAGACAGAGGCTCAGGATACAATTCAATTAAGTTCAGAATATACCACAACAGGCTGTATCTTCTTATTAGAATAAAGCGTGACAGTGTCGAGATGTAGTCAGTGTGGGCAAGAGCACTGAGTAGTTTTCAACTGTGATGATTTTTATTTTTTTCCAAAGATGCAGCTTTTTCACTGAGTAAATTGATTTGACCTGTTTTTTTTTTAAGGTTAATAAATAGCTTTTTTCAAACGGTACCATTCCTGTCAATGGTAAATGTTGTATCAGTTGGGCTTAACTCACCCAGATATGACTGCGTCTCTTGAAGTAGCAAGCTGATTTAAATAGAAGTTGTTTAAAATCTTTAATGTCTTGAACTTGGCTTTTGTTAAAAGTATGAATATGAATAATATCATTGAGGACAGTGGAAACATCATGCACCACGATGTGAACGCTAACTTTAGTTGTAAGTTGTTATTGTCATTTCCAGACCTGACTGTTGACATTTTTCTTTTACAATGCCGTCATTCCACATTCGTACATTCATCCTAAACATACTGTTTCTCTTAAACGTTCTGTTTTCCACTTTCAATCCACTGCAGCATCATTGTGAGCTTGACCCAGTCCAGCATAAAACAGTTTTACTCAATGAAATAATTGGTCCTGAGATAAAACATTTAAAGCATTGTGCATCCTAAAGGTTGTAGGTAATTTGTGTAAAGAGCTGCTGTTTTCAGTGTTAATGGAAGATCTGTATTGAGCTCTATTCAGAGTTTTTGACACTGTGGTGTCTAAAAGCCATGCATCTCCACGATGAGCTTCTTCAAAAGCAGTTCAATTAATACGCAAACTAGGGCACACATTTACAGTGCATGATCTGTTAATACAATCAGATGTAACAGAAGACAAGTTTTTAACCCTATAGGGCTGTAGAGTATTGTTTGAAATTGTATCAACTCTTAAAAGAAATGGATTGGTCACACAGAAAAAATAGTCTGCATGGTATCTCTAGATTAACTACATCAGCCAAAGTGGACTGTGCACTGTAACTGCTAGCCTTATTAACCCAAACGAATTATAATACACATAAAAAAGCCTGTATTTGCAGCATATTAAATCATTTTAACCTTGTTATTTTATTCTAAAATGATAACAGACCCAAGGCAGACCAGCATGCACCTGCTCATATTCATATGGTTTCCAAAAATAGAACTACTATGTCAACTCATGATCCCAGCACAAGAACTATTGAGGAATATAATGCAGACAGTTTAGTCTGCTGTCTTTAGATGATGCCATGTTGGTTGTTGTTGTTACCTGTTTTAACAAAACGTTTTTCACATGGTGTTTGTTAATTTAAAACTGATTTTGAGCAAACGTTTTAAGCAAATTGGTTAGAACTAGACAGTTTATTTTGATTGGGTGAGTTCAAAGTTGTGAAAATGCAGAAGTTTTCACAGGGATTCTGTTCCTTCCACTGTAAAATAGAATAATGGATTAATCCTGGAAGGCTATTGATGTAGTCGGATGTGAGCATATCGATCAACCATTTTTTTCTTGAGATGCCTTCACAGTCAAATGTATTAAGAACAAAGTAGCAACTAATGATTAACCATCATTTTAGCTCTCATCTATTTAATTTATGAGCAAGTCATAAATAAAACAAAGACAGCTGTTGCTCTTCATGAACGTGAAACACTTCTGATGATATTCAGGCAGGGATAATCTCAGTTGATTTGTTGATGTTAAACCTGATCTTTAATATTACAGTGTTGAATTTGAGAACAGTGTTTTATTCCACTCCTGGCCAGCTCGATATTCCCAATGTTCTCTCTCACAGCGCTGCCAATGCTGCTCAACATGAAGCATGACAGATTTCCATCTCTCCCTGCACTGTTATGACCAGAAGAGAGAAACATTCCTCATTTCAAATTGTAGCACATGTCGTCTCACATGGTGAGCATTTTATTATCACTCAGCTTGTTGCAGGTAAACAACACTGTAGCTACAGTGGAACATATTACATTTTCTTTTAATTTGGTTGGGGCATGAATTGAAAATGCCAGTTGAATATTAAGGCAGTGCTTACAAAAGAAATAATGTAGGATTTCATTTTTTATTCATGGATTAGCTTACATTATTTCCCTCATCAAGGGACAAAATCTTGTTCACAAGCACAGACAAAGCTTGACCTTGTGGGATTAAAAAAAAATCCATTAAGTTTTACCACCAATTATGGTTTGAAATAGTGCCCATATCCATGAGAAATAACTCTGCTGTCAGGTGCCACAAAGTCATTCACAGATTTACTGTCAGAGGAGAAGACTGTGCCTTTGTTTCTCTGGTTTTCACTGCTAAATTTGGTGTCTCCAGCTTGGGGACCAACTTACTCATGTTTGCAAGTGTAAATTGAGCTGTCCAAAATTATTACAATAACACAATACATGAGCCCTATCATGAGATAAGTGCGGCTCTTCCACATTACGCATAAATTCAGGAGTTGAATCAAAAACCTCACTTTGCCACTTTGCAGTACTTGAATTTGGAAGAAATCGAAGGAACAACGACTTAATGGCTCAGTTAATTATAAAAAAAAAAAGAAAGAAAAGAACTTGCAGTCTTTCACTGTGCTCTTCATTCTTTGTGTCCTAGTTTTTTTTTCTTTCTCTCAAGTGTCTGCCAGGTTTGTTTAATATTAGCACTCCATAATTTGGCTGCTTGTAGCCCTTATGGCTCATCACTCAGCAGGGGTCATCGACCGGCCGTCTTTTCTCTGAGCAGGGCCGTACTAGTTAATTGAGGTTAATTTGTATCTGTGAGTGACTGTGAGCAGGTGCTGGAGGTTGATGGCAGTTGTCATGCCAAGACATACCATAAACCTCTTCCCGGTGTTGGTGTGTGTGTGTGTGTGTGTGTGTGTCTGTTTGTTGTGTGCTGACACACACTAATTAATCATACTTTGCCATGTGTTTTATGTGCTGGTAGGGAAGAAAGAGAGACAACTGATCAGGCTTTTTAGTTGATGCTGTATGAGGCGTTTTGCTTTGATTTCCTGCTCAGTAGTCGACCCTTCTCTGAAGTGTGTAGGATCCTGAGTCTGAATACAGCTTTATAAACATTGTTATGCTTTCTACAGGAACACTCTGCCACCACAGTTAACCCTAATTATTTGACAGGTGACAAACGTGACTGTGTGAAAAGAAAGACTCTCATCCTATAAATAATAAGCTATTTTCTCCATCCATAGAGGCTGCCGTGCCACAGCAAGGCTGCCAGTTTTAGACAACATGTGGATAATGTTGTGCGAGCTCGCAAACTGCAGGTCTGGGAGAGCTGGCATACACGTATATACCTTTGTTTAAGTTTGAGAGTTAATACGCTCTTTTTGCTGCATCTCTATCAATTTTTTTATATGTTAATTCCTATGGTCCTGCCAAAGATGCCTGTGTGCTTGCCAAACTCAAACAAATGCACATTTTCAAATTGAATTAAAGTACTGCAGAGAATTTATAACAAACAATTGTATGTGATTTTGAGATTATTTCTATGAGAAAAGGCATAAAGATCCTGTAGTACAAAACAGAATTTGTAGAACTTACAGAACTTATTGTACAGTTACATGTATATATGAGATTTTTGCCAAAAAAGGTTGTAAGTTTAGTTGTTTGCATTTATATGTATTTCTGAAAGTTTTCTTTTTCTGCGTACGTTAACTAAGTCCAGAATCCTTCTTTTCAGGTATGAGATTCGGGACCCACACCTGGTGGAAGAAAATGTCCTGCAGATCCTGAAGGAGAGAGCAGACTTTGACAACTATAAGCCTCGCCCTTTCAACATGCGTGAATTCTATGACCGAACGGGCCACGACATCAAGGACATGCTGCTTTCCTGCTCCTATAGAGGCATGGAGTGCAGTGCTGAAGACTTCAAAGTGGTGAGTCAGGCGTGTCAATAGTTAAATGTCCGCTACAAGGCCAGCTGAGGTCTGCCAAGACCGGGGTCATCTGAGCATGTTTTCAATACAAGGTCGACGTTGATGTAGCTTATTGTAATGTCTATATAATATGACCTCTGTTGAGCAAACAACACTGAGGTTTGCTTTTGTGAAACGGCATGGCAAGATATATGATGTAGAGAATTTTTCTCCTCGGTTCAATCTGTGGGGTTTCAGATCCCTCTGTCCCCCCTCAGGACTGGACAGAGAACCATTGTGTACACTGTGACTGACACTGTACACTGGCCAAGGGCCACTGAGTGCAGTGATACACACCACTCTGCTGCAATGCCCTGCACGCTGGCCTTAGTGTGATAGTTTACAGTCTCTAAAAGGTTGAGCAATACTCTTATAAAATGTTGAAACTTGATCTTTTGCTGAGCTCTGGGTCAGTGCCATAACACATTCTTTATGAGCATGAAGTCAAAAAAATTGGTCACTGAGGAATATTTCCTGTAAGTGTTTGTTTTTCTCATCTGTTGAATGGTTTCAGGTATCGTGTTATTAGCTTTAACCTCTGTAACTTTTATATCCGCTGTAGAGTGTACAGATTCATCAGATACAGCTGCAGTACAAACCACATGAAATTCACCTTGTTCTCATGTGTGTATTTACTTCACATTTTTTTGTCATATCTGCCTAATAACAGCCAGATTAACTCATCATAAGATAGTGATGCTGACTTTGCGCTTGACCTGATTTTGTAGGCAGTACACTGAATTGGTTGATAATGTAATGTGTATTTTACTGACAATAAGGAATTTAGAGACATGACCGTTACTTTTTGACTTGTTCCAGAAGCAAAACACATGCTAAAAGGCACTATGTTTCCATGTTGTTTCTCTGTACATATGTACTGGACGTACATCTGTCCATCCTATTCTTGTGAATGTAATATCTCATGAACACCTGGAAGAGATTTTATCTAATTTGGTACAATCTTTTTCTTGAATTCAAAGATGACCTGGTTAGATTTTGGTGATAAAGGTTCACTGTGACCTCAAGTCCATTCCATTATTTTGAACTCAATAAATCATCAAGGCCTTAAGGGAATTTCATTACATCTGGCACAAAAGTCCACTTTAACTCAAGGATGAACTGATTACAATTTGGTGGCCAAAGCTCAAGGTCACTCTGACCTTACAAAACAGAATTTGGCCATACCTCATGAATTTCCTATGCTAATTATAACAAAATTTCACTCAAGTGCCTAAATCTGTAAGGCTAAATAAATGAAGTGATGACAGTTCACCTCAAAAAGGTCAAAAGTCAAGTCTGGACAGATATGGAGGAGAACTACAACTTGACTGATTGATGGAGGCATGCAGCTGAGGAGCAATATTTGTAGTTTGTCTTTTGTTTGCTGTATGTTTGATTTTCTTTATCATTCAGCCATTAACTGTCTGTCTTTGGTTTGGTGCTGGGCAGGTAGCTTACAGTGCTTATCAGAGCTTGTTGGCTTGGAAATGGCTGCTTACTGCTGCTGCAAATGGGATTGCTAAGCATCAAGTCTCAACTATTAAAGATGTGGGTCGTAATACAATACAGTGCAACAGAGTTGCTTAGTTGGCAGATTTTTCTTTGCATGATTGTAATTATTAGTGACCCCTTTCACATTACATGAGCATCACTTCAATATGAAAATATTTTCCTAATGTTTCTTGTGCTTTTAATATTTGTGTAACTAAAGCAGTTGTTACTGCAAATACAAAAGCAGGTTTTAAATGATGCAATGTAAAGGCCCCAACCAGTTTAAGAATTGCCGTGAAATTATTAACTGATGCAGACAAAGAGCACCGATGTAGATGGTTGCAAAGAAACTATAACAAGATAAATGAGTTGAGGTGACAATTGCAAGAAGAGATACCACATTAAGATGTGTTCACAAAGAAGTGTCACATTAAAATCTGGCACATTGCAAGCAGTGAGGGAGAGGGAGGAGATTTACATGGAACAACTATCCAGCAGATGCTCATGCAAGAGCAGGTGGAGTGTGACGAAGACATTGTATTGATAAGATTGATATCTCTTGAGAATTGCATGGTGATTTCGATCAAACACACAAATTAGGTGTTCTTTTCAAGAATTTTAATAAATAAAGACACGTCACTAATTGCATTATAGGTGCACTTCAGATGACAAGCAAGCTGCTCTTCCAGACCAGTGCACCGGTATAATAAATAACTTGCATGTCTGCAATGAATGTGCAGGAAATTAATCATGAAAAAGCTTCGTGAATCCAGTCCCAGTCTCACTCGTGCACCCTGCATCCTTTAGCAGTTCTTTAAGGTAAAATATCTCATATTCTGAGCGTTTTCCCCCGTATCCCATAAAACCTTGTAGTACAGCAGTGGGTTGCGACACAGGGCAGTGTGGGGTGCTTTAATGTGCTGATGTGTCCACATTTACTGTAGTTAGTTGTGCTTATAGCAGATGGTGCTTCACAGCGCTCCACTGTATTAGTACAGTGGTGGACCTGGATGGAACAGCTCAGCAGAGAGCAGTAATGGTGTGGAAAGAGTCTTCATTGCGACAGAAAAAGAGAAAAAAAGTATGATAACCATTTTCCACCAGCCTCTTGCCTCCAAACTCCAGAGCATGGAAGCAGTAAAACTGTGATTAACACTGTCGGCAGCTTCTGCTTGTTTACCCCCAGCATCGGCAGTGTGCCTTGCTCGCTGCTCCCTGGCTGTGGAAGATAGCCAGAAACAAATGGTGTCTGCTACATATGGCATCAGGGAGTCCAATTGCATCACATCATTTTATCAGTGCTCTGATAAAGATGTGAAATAAAACAGTTAGACCGCAGGATTGGTAACACTTAACGCAGGCTGTCTGCAATGAGATTGTGAGAATCTGCTGTGTAATACTGTCTCATCTTCCAATGGAGGAATTGACTTAGATACTTTACAGCTTGTACTGCATCAGAATTGATCTGACATTGTTTCTTAGTTCATGTTCAGGTATTGAGTCCACCATTATTCAATGAGAACTCCAGTGTCTTTGTCAAAAGCCAGAGTCTGTTGTTAATTAGTGGTCACTGTCGTCTCAAAACTTAGAGGGATACAGTGTCATATAACCAATTTTCTGTCATTACTGCTGGAAATATGACGCATTAGTAACTCACTGTCTCTGACCTTCTCAGATCCAGTAATTTGTTTTCCTACCACATCTTTCTCCTTAGAAAGACATCTGCTAATTAGGAATGGAGAAGGCTGGGCTTATGTGTTTTAGCTTAGCCGATAGTCAAGAACAGCAGGAAAGAAACATTAACATTAATGGATGGCCTACAGCTTCTGAACCACAGCTGCAACAGATAATAAGAAACCACTAAAAAGTGAGTGAAATGCAAAGACCCTAATTTGATTGTTTACAGCCTTATCTTTAATTAAACCGACACATGCATGGGCACATGGAGAAACCGTGAATGTACAGAATCATTCTAAGAAGCAAATTACTGAGTTTACAGTCTATCTGACAGCATGCCGAACTGTTTGCAGATAATATGTTGATAGGCAATTAATGTCTCAAGCTCTAAGTTATTCCATTTTGAACACTTCAAGACACCCACGTCTGATTTCAATCACCAGGCCAGGGAAAACTCTGACAGACTTATAACTTTGCCAGAGTCAAAATTGAAGCTTCGGGGATGGCAGCGTGTCGAAGAGAGGGATAGACAGTACATAAGGGAGAAAAAAAGAATAAGACAGAAAGAGGGGAGGATAAACAAAGGCCCAGGTAGCAACAAAGTCCTTGGGATGAAACTGACCGTAATGGTCAAATGCTGCAGAGAGGCACAAAGACACAAAACAACAGCTGCCACAGCAGTAGCAGCAACAGAAGTACTATCGGCAGACACACGTTTGTGCTCATTTAACCTCTCAGGGACTACAGAGGTGCCTGTATCTCCCTTTTTCAGCTGCCTTTTTGTTTGTTCAAGCACTACAGAGTATGGCAGCTCAACAGGTCTCTCCAGGTTTCTCCTTTCCACTCTTGTGTTTTTGGTAAAAACAAAATATCAGCTGCAGCCCAAATTCATAGAAGGATAGGAGCAACAGGGTTGAATGTGGAACAGATGAAATGTGGCAAAACTCAGTGCAGTTTGGGATCAATTTGATCTAGAAAATGAAAATAAGGTTGTATAAACTGCTTCAGAATAGAGTGACTTCTACAACTTGTACAGTTAGTGTGTGCATGTTGATATTGACCCTACAAGGAACAATGCTGCCAGTGCTTGCAGTGCTAACATTAGCCGCACTGCAAGTAAATACGACATTGTCTATCCACGGGCACTGTTATGTTGCTCAGTCTTAAAAGAAGATGCAGCTCATCTGCTATATGTAAAGTTGTCAACCATTTGTGAAAAGTTGGGATATTTGAGGACCTGATTATCTCAGCTTTGATGGTTAGTTTTTGAAGTCAAAGTGAATCCAAGTTATACTTGACATGTTTTTAAACTTAATCTTGAAAAATAAGGCTGACGTTTAAATAAAAAAAATTTAAAAAATACAAGACTTCAGAAGTGTCTGGCACTGATCTCTGTGCAGCAAATAATCCTTAAAAACAATGTTATTTCAGATAAGTTAATACATTGAAGCAAACATTGTAAAATATTTATGAAGTGATAACAACCAGCCATGGATTTTTAAGACCTGTTCAGTTTAAAATTACTGACACATTAGATTTTTTTATTTATTATTGTCTCTCAGTAGTCCCTATCAATGCATTTAGTCCTCCTGTCAAAACCCCCAACTCCCCTTTCAGTTAACCCAGACTCTTGCGTAATTGCCATGATCATTCTATTGAGCTATTGGCTCCATTTCAGCTGTCCATTGACCCCCAGAGTCCACCCTCGGTGGAACAGAGAAGTGTCGCTAATGAGATGTGATCAATAGAGAAAGGCTTTTAGAGACACCTGCCCATGGATCACATTTCACAAA